TTAGCTTCTGCCCTGTCCTGACCGCCATGGCCCCGGTAGACTCGACTGTTGAGGGACAATCTATCTCGACTGCTTCGAACCCTGCCCGAGAATCTGTGGACCTGCAAACATTAATGGAGCAGTTGAAGAATTTGACAAGCGTCGTCAACGAACTCCGCGACGAGAACCAGCGACTTCGCCAGGTGTAGGAGAAGCTTCCGGAAGAGCCGGGCGACGATGCATGAAGAGAGGCGGGTGAGCAGCAACCGTCACCAGTGGATTTGGCACGACTAGCAGCAACAGCCCCTCGCTCGACAAGTGGCGGCGTAAGATATCAGCAATCTGCTCCTTTCAACCCAGCTAATAAAGGCGTGACAGTGCGGGAGTGGATATTTGCCTTGAATATCTATTTTAATGCGGCGGGCATCCAAGACGATCAGAAGCGGATCAGCCACGCATTAACACAGTTGCAAGGGGCCTCCCTACAGTGGTGGAAGGTCATTGTCGACTTAGCGGCAAATCGCACAGAAGAACAGCACAAGTGGTCCGAAGAATTCGGCGATGAAGACGAAGCAGATTTGTTGTTCGGAGCAACCCACATTCGCACGTGGGCAACGTGGCTTGTAGAGCTTCGCAAGCGGTTTGAGCATGCTCCTGACTCAGACAAGGCACGCAAAACTCTACGCATGTGGAAGCAGCTGGGATCGGTGTCCGAGTACGGCGCGTCGTTCTTGACGTTGGTGGACCGATTTGGCTGCATGCACGAGTTGGAGAAGGTCGACATGTACATGGGCGGCTTGAAGCCTGACATACAGTACCAGATAAAACTGCAACGCCCCGGGAAGCAGTTACAAGACTACATCCAGCTCGCCGAAACCGCTGATTCGATCATGAAGCCGAGGACGAAATTCTACGACGGAGGTCGCCCTCGAGAACAGTACCAGCGCGCCATGATAAAAGCGATGGACACAATGGATATTTACGGAGTTGCTCCGCAAAATACGGGGCTATGCTACCATTGTGGCCGGCTGGGTCACATCCGACACAATTGCCAAGAATTCATAGCCCTCCAGAATTCTATGGGGAAGAAGCCGGAGGAGCGACCGGGAAATGGGTCGTGTCCGTAAGTACCGAGCCCCTTACTGACGGGCAGGCTTCTTCGCCCAAACCACACAGTCCCCACCGGGTCGTGATCTCGATTGCTGCAATCGACTGGACCCGGACGAATAAGGGGGACGAAACTGCTCATCACCCTGTGTTGGTGGAGGGTGAAGTCAACGGGGTGTTATTGAAGATCTTCATTGATGGAGGTGCGAGTCACAGTCTCATACAACTGGACAGGGCTACAAAATTGGGTATACCCTTACTCAAGTGTCTACCTGAAATCGACGCTCGAATGGTGGACGGAACACCGCTGGCAATACGGGAATGAGTGGAGAACGTTGGTTTTACCTATGGGGAGCATGTAAAATTTCGGATGGGACTACTCGCGACTACTCTCGACGGATGCGACGTGCTGCAGGGACGTGATTGGTTGCGACAGTACAACCCGAAGATTAACTGGATGACCTGCAGCATCAAGCTCGATGGGATTTCCCAAGAGCTGCCCAAGTGGACGGGGCCTCGCACGCGAAGCACCCAAGTCCATGCGATCACCTTCAAGTGCGAGATGAAGGCTGGAGCTGTAGCATACGCCGTTGATCTTTGCGAGGTGACATCGACGGTCGAGACCGAAGATATCGAGAAGCTGTGCAAGGCCGTTTCTCCGGACTTGGCGGACTTGATTCGGAAATACCCAGAGATTTTCCCCGACAATCTGCCAACTGGACTCCTGCCAAGCCGACCTGAGGACCACCAAATCGAACTGGAACCAGGCGCCCAACCGACGGTACTGCGCCAATTTCGGCTCAGCCAACCGGAATTGGAGGAATTACAGCAGCAACTGGATTACCTTCTCACGAAAGGATCTATCCGGGCCAGCACGTCACCATACGCCGCCCCGATACTGTTCACGCCGAAAATGGATGGAGGATTCAGAATGTGTATCAACTTCCGCCCACTCCACCGGATCACCATCAAGTCGCGTTACCCAATCCCGCGAGCCGATGAACTTTTTGACCAACTTCGCGGCGCCAATTTTTTCTCGAAAATCCACTTGTGAGGAGGTTACCATCAGATTCGCGTCGCCGCTGAAGGTTGTCACAAGACGGCATCTCGAACCCGCTACAGTAGCTACGAGTACCTGGTGATGCCTTTTGGCCTCACGAACGCGCCCTCGACCTTCCAAATGACCATGAATGGAATTTTCAGGGAACTCTTGGACAAATGCGTCATTATCTACCTCGACAATATACTTATCTACAGCCGCAGTAGGGAGCAGCACTTACAAGATCTTGATGTAGTCTTCACGCTGCTGCACAAGAATCGCCTCATCACCAAAGGGTCTAAGTGCGACTTTCTTAAACAGGAGTTGGACTTTCTGGGCCACATCGTCTCTACCGAAGGAGTGAAAATTGACCCCAAGAAAATCAAGACCATACAGGAATGGAAGCCGCCAAGCAACATCAAGGAGCTGCAAAGTTTTTTGGGATTCGTCAATTACGTCCGCCAGTTTATCCCAAATATGGCTGGGTTGTCTGCCCCGCTAACTGATCAACTCAAGGATCACGATTGTTTTTTGTGGGGAGAGAAGCAGCAAGCTACATTTGACCAACTGAAGATCGCCCTCACGTCGTCGCCCGTCCTTCGCATCTCCGATCCTGACCGTCCATACGAAGTCATCACCGTCGCCAGCGACATCGCCATCGGTGCAGTTCTTCTACAAGATTTCGGCGACAGATTACAGCCGGTCGCCTACGAATCACGGAAGCTGCAGGGCGCAGAGAAAAATTATACAGTACACGACAAGGAAATATTCGCGATCGTCCACGCTTTCAAGACCTGGCGGTGCTACCTGACAGGTGCTGATGTCACTGTGCGGACCGACCACAAATCCCTACAGTACCTGTGAGCCCAACCGAACCTCAACCCGCGACAGATCCGATGGCTCGATTTACTCAAGTCAAATTTCCACTACATCATCACCTACAAACGGGGCGCCAATAACATTGCTGATGCCCTGACCCGACCCACTGCCCACCCAGCCGCCATACTAGTCGCCCAGACCAGCCCACTCCTTACCGGACTATTTACCTATGGCTACAAGATCGACCCATTCTTCCGCTCCACCATTCACCAACAGCATACTACCGCTACCGGACATTATTTCAATAAACGCGACACTTCCCACATCTGAGTTCCTGGCTACGATTTACTTCATACCCTCCTTATCCAGGAATCCCATGACAATCATACCTCCGGGCATTTTGGAGTCGACAAAACCTTGAAGACGTTGCAGCGCAATTATTACTGGCCGAACATGGCTGACGACGTGCGCAAGTACGTGTCATCTTGCACCGCCTGCTAGATTATGAAATCATCCCATCAGCGAGCAGCCGGACTACTACAGCCGTTGGATCCGCCTGAGAGACCCTGGCAACACGTCACGATGGACTACATGACAGGACTGCCCGCCGGTCCCAGCGGATACAACGCCATCCTCGTGGGCGTTGGCCAACTCACGAAAATGGCGCACTTCATCACCTGCCAACAGAAAATTGCAGCTGAGCAAACTGCCCAACTGTTCATCGCCAGCGTCATCAGACTGCACGGACTGCCCAACACCATTATTTCAGACCGAGACCCGAAATTCACATTGAATTTTTGGCGCCACCTGTGGGACCAATTCGGGACCAAATTGCAGTTTTCCTCTGCCTACCACCCACAGACTGACGGGCAGACTGAACGAGTCAACCAAACAATGGAGCAACTCATTCGGACTACCTGCATCGACCCACAGACATGGGAGAAATCCCTTCCGCTGCTGGAATTCGCGTATAATAATGCGCCTTCCGCAACAACCCATCAATCCCCATTTTTCCTCAATTACGGACAGGACCCAGTGGTACCCGCTACACCCAACATTGAGACACCCGTGCCCCAGTCCCAACGACTTGCCGAAAACATCCTTGCAGCCCGAGAAAAAGCAGCTGAGGCAATCCGGAAAGCCAACATGGTCGCAAGCCGACAAGCCGATCGTCATCGACGTGACATCATTTACAAAGTGGGAGACCTGGTACTACTCTCTACTCGCAATTTGCGTCTGTCGATCCCGAGCAAACTCCGAACCCGATCCAGTGGCCCCTTTCAAGTGACTAATATGGTGACACCTGTCACCGCTCACCTCCGACTACCGGCGGATTGGCGTCACCACCCGACTTTCCACGTCAGCCTACTACGACCTTACATCCCCAGTTCGTCGGATTTGGCTCGTCAACGCATCGTACCGTAGCTGACGCCTCTGCAGGAACTGACGACCGAGCTCCTGAAGATTCTCGGCCATCGAGTCAAAACGCAGCAGAATCGACGAATGGTGGATTTTCTCGTCAGATTGTGCGATCGAACATCTGAAGATGGCAAATGGGCGCCCCTCGCTCATATAGAATCACACCCGATTCTAACAGTGTATTATCAGCGTCAGAATGTTTCCGATGCCCGCGGCCTCGTTTAGGGGGGGGGGGGTAGTGTAAGGAATTTCCATTCCTTACTGAGTCGTACGCTAGCGCATACACCCGAACTCCTCGACTCGTCACGTTCGGCCTCAATTGTCAGCCCAACCTCTTCCAGAGTCACGTCCGGCACTGTCGCCACATTGCCGAACCTACCCACGTTCCGAGGTTATCGCCCTAGCACGCCAACCCCTGTATAACCTCGTGCTTTCATTGCAATAGCGACATTGGATTCTCACGTTATATTTCATTGACACTTCCTATATCATAACAGACGTTTTTCCTGTAACTGCTTATGTCTGGTTACCAGGCTCCGTGGTGCACCACCACTTTGAGGCTTTATCACAACCTGCCAACCAAGATTTGTCGCACCCACAATTTCGCCAAGCCCAGCCCTATCCGTCGCATCCTTGCCCCACTACAGTGATCTATTCCCGTCGCCCTTGCCCAATTCGCCTTTCTCTCTTCCCTCGTCCCCTCTTCCTCTTTTCTCTCTCTCCTCCTAGAAACAGGGCGTGTTCTTAGGCGTGTACTCGTTTTAGACTTGTAGTGTCTCTTTTCTACAAGCATGGCTGACAGAGGCGGCTTCGATCGCGGCTTTGGCCGCGGGGACCGCGGGGGGCGCGGAGACAGGGGCCGCGGGGACAGGGGGCGCGGGCGGCGCAGACGCGCGGACGATAAGGAGGAGGCGTGGGTGCCAGTGACTAAGCTCGGGCGGCTCGTGAAGGAGGGGAAGATTAAATCCATCGAGCACATTTACCTTTTCTCGCTGCCGATTAAGGAGCACCAGATCGTGGAGGCGTTCCTGCCGACTCTTAAGGATGAGGTGATGAAGATCATGCCCGTGCAGAAGCAGACGCGCGCCGGGCAGCGTACGCGTTTTAAGGCGTTCGTCGTCGTCGGTGACTGCAACGGTCACATCGGCCTCGGCGTGAAGTGCGCTAAGGAGGTCGCGACCGCCATTCGCGGCGCGCTCATCCTCGCGAAGCTGTCCGTGATTCCCGTGCGGCGCGGGTACTGGGGTAACAAGATCGGCAAGCCCCATACCGTGCCGACCAAGGTTACCGGGAAGTGCGGCTCGGTCACCGTGCGGCTCGTGCCCGCGCCGCGTGGTTCCGGAATTGTCGCGGCGCGCGTGCCGAAGAAGGTGCTCCAGTTCGCGGGCATCGAGGACGTGTTCACGTCGTCGCGCGGGTCCACGAAAACGCTCGGCAATTTCGTGAAGGTTTGTAACCCCATGCACATGCATTTGTCGCACGCCCGCCACTGCAAGAGCGCAAACGTCCGTTATCGTAGCTAAAATGCGCGTCCATGTCGCAGGCTATGCGACCCCCGGGAAGGTTGCCCTTGACGTTTGCAGTGACGTGAATCTGCTGTAGCAGCTGTAGCAGCAGCTGAGAGGGCGAGGCAGGGGCGACGTATATCCTTGGACATAGGACCAGCGAGCAGCAGTGCCAAACGCCTCAGCCATCGACCCTTGCGGCGACGTGAATCCGTTGTAGCAGCAGCTGAGAGGGGGTCAGGCAGGAAAAGACTTTTGAGTCGACTCAAAAGCAGCTGAGAGGGGGTCAGGCAGGAAAAGACTTTTGCGGCGGGGGGGATGTTTTTTTCTAGGTGCCTAAAAGATGGAAGGTTGCCCTTCACGCTTGCGGCGGCGTAAATCCGCTGCAATAGTAGATGTGAGGGTCAGACAGGGAATTGCGAAGGGGAGAAGGGGGAAGATGGGGGGATGGGGGGAGATGGGGGGAAGGGGGGAGATGGGGGAGGTTGGAGTCGTTTTTGGGGATTCGGCTGTCGGTTTAGCGCGTGCACCAGCCGTCAATATCTAGGTTCGTCGTTAAACAATCATTAGTGTGACGGCATTTTCCTGCGCCCCTGCCGCTAGGCGTTTCCCTGCACCCCTGTCGAACAGTAGTGTAGCTCGCTGTAGCCAGTTCTTGAAACCAGCTGCTTCCAGAGACCAGCTGCAGCCTAGGGCCGTCGTAATAAGGGGCGGCTTCCCTCGAAATGATGGTGCTAGGCGCGCTCCTTAGTATAGGTGCGTGTAACTAAGATTCCTGCGAGGGTCACCCCCGCGCGCGCAACCGAGTGGTGGCAAGTGATGCTGGTCTATCGATGATTCACATGATGCGTCTCTCCCCGCGAGGGGAGGGCCTCGTGAAATCAAACCCTTTGACTCCTGATGCCACCCCCTTTCTCGTCGCTCTCCCTGACTCACAAGCACACGCGCGCATGGACCCCCTCCAACCCCCCCACCCATCTCCCTCCCCCCCCCCCTGCTCTCCCCTTCCCCCCCCCCCCCCACACGCGCGCAATAGACAACCTTTTCCCCACCCCCCCACGCGCGCAATAGACAACCTTTTCCCCATCCCCACACGCGCGCGATCCGGACGGTGGCAAGTGATGCTGGTCTATCGATGATTCACATGATGCGTCCCGCCCTCTTAGGAATGAGACGCGTGAAATCAAACCCTTTGACTCCTGATGCCGCCCACCGCTCCCCTTTCCTAACCCCCCTCCCTGTCCTCCATTTCCGTCACCCCCCGCCCATCTCTTACTTATCCAATGCGGCTTCTCTCTTGCTCATATCCTGACACCCCTCTCCCCCCCCCTCTCCCCTCCCCCTCCTCCCCCTCCCCCCCCACCCACCCTCTCCACCCTCCCTCCCCCGCTCTTCCCCTCCTTGCTCTTCTCTCGTCCCCGTCCCAAACTCCCCTCTCCGTGTCTTGGCAAGTGATGCTGGTCTATCGGTGATTCACATGATGCGTCCCTCGCACGAGGGACTCGTGAAATCAAACCCTTTGACTCCTGATGCCACCCGCCCATCGCCTCCCTTTTCTCCTTTCTCCCGTTCCTCCCCCTTCTTCTTCCCCTCCACTCCCGTGCACACTTTCCCCCATCGACCTTCGCCTGGGAGTTCCTTGCCACTGGCGTGTTGGTCATTCGCTCCCACGCCTACCTAGTCACACTCTATGTGTGTGCCGCTCCACATTAATACATCACCCACGCGCAGTTCTCCCTCCCACCCTCTAACCTCTCCTCCTCCTCTCCCTCTGTCTCTCCGTCCTCCCCTCCCTTTCCCTCCCTCATCCTCCCCCTCTTTCTTTCCCCTCTGTCTCTTTCCTCCTCCCTTTTCCCGCACCCCACCTTCGCCTGCCTGCTCAACACAGACGCTTTCCTCACTCCCGTACGACCTCTGGCACGCCACCAAGTTGCCTCGCAATATGTGTGCATAGATCACTCACTCACTCACTCTACTCTGTCTGTCTTTCCCCCTCTCTTTCCTCTTCCCCGCAGGCCACCTTCGCCTGTCTGCTCAACACGTACGCCTTCCTCACGCCCGACCTGTGGCACGCCACCAAGTTCACCAAGACGCCCTTCCAAGAGTTCACCGATTTCCTCGCCAAGCCGCACAAGCTCGCTCTCCCCGTGGCTGTTCCCGACGCCTTCGATGCTCCCGCTCCCGCTGCTGCCGCTCCTGTTCCTGCTTTCTAGATGAGGCGGCGGGGAAGAAGATGAGAACGGGCTTGTTTGTAGAATCAATGTCCAAATGCACATGCTGGAATGATGGTGTTTCAAGACAAGCTTGGCTCCTCATCTGTAGCCCCTCCTCTCGCTCAGCACCATGACAACATGCCTCTGGCATGCCATCAAATTCACCAAGTCGCCTTTCCAAGAGTTGTGTGATTTTCTTGCCAAGCTGCACACGCTTTAGATGCTCTTGCCCTTGTTGCTTCCTGTTGGAAATATCTCAAGGACTTAAGCGTTTCTGAAGTGTAACACTGTACTCGAGGAAGATTACAGGGGAGCACGCGAGTCAACGGAGGTTACACGAGGGGGCGGACAAAGAATGCGAAAGGACTCGAAAGGTCGCAACTGGAGGTTGCGACTGACCGTTACAACATCACGGATGGTAACCGAAGCGGCAATCGAGTCGCTGTGCGACTCGATAAACCGTTCCTGTAACTGTATTCTACAACTGCTTTCTTATCTACTATATATTGCTGTATGCTTGTTTCTTTAATCAATCACTTGTTCTCACATACTAGTACAAGGGTTCAACTGCCTCAACTTCCGCTGCACTACTCCAAGTCTCAAGTCTTTACAGCTGGGACTTAGTCTCTGCAAAAGATCCTAAAGGGTTTTTCTCAGCCCAACATGGTATGAGAGCTGGTCAGAGACCAAACTCCCAGCAACTACGTCCTATCAACAACCTGCAACTCAACTCAATTCAACGACTTCATTGATTACAAGACATGGACAACAAGGGCAAGAAAGTCTCTACGGGCTCACCCAGCGCCCAAGAAACTCAACACGGCAACTCTGGTCTGCACACCTCAGGACTGCAGACAGAGACCGGGACTGCTCAAGAAACAACGGGAAGAGTACCAGAGATGGTGACCCCGTCTCCCTCTTCAAGTGTGGACCCGAATCTCATGGAGAGATTCTTCAGCTTCATGTCACACTTCGATCAGCAGCAGCAGACAAGGACACCTGCGCACTCAACACAGAGCAATGGAGGGAATATGGGATTAGCGCCGATGAGCCTCGACAACTCATCCTTCGGGCGACACAATCAAGCGCCTACCTTTGCGCCTTATCATTCTTCGCCGGGGACGTTCGAATTCATGCCGCCCCGTGCCCAGCCAACAACAGCTGCTTCACAACAAACACCGAATGAAATCTTAAGTTTACAGGCGCAGTTCTCACACGTGATCAAACTTCAGACATCCTCACCGTTCAACGGACACGACTTCTTTACCTGGAGCTTCGAGTTCGAGCTGCTGATGGAGGCCGCGCATCTTCTGGGATACTTCAACGGGTCCCTGCCATTCCCAAGCAACGACACTGGGAAGGAACAAGAGATCTTCACGTATCAGTCGCTGCTGGCGTACACGGTACTCCTGAGAAACCTGTCACCACAAGAGCAGCAGAGCATCAGAACGTATCGGAGTTATGGAAACTCCGCGGAGCTCGCATGGCACCACCTCAAATGCCTTTACCAAGCAAACGACAGCGTGACACAAAGCAGACTCATGCAACAGCTGACAACAATACAGATGAAGACCGGGGAAAAGGCGATGCAGTATATGAGTCGCTGCCAGACCCTCCGCGACCGCCTGCTTCGGTGCGGAGGAACGATCACTGAAGAAAGCTTCGTAACACTTGTCCTCGCCGGGCTCGGGCCAGAATGGAGAACCACACGATCACTTCTTCGAGCCCACGGAAGAATTTCGGAGATGCACCTCTGCGCCGAGCTTCACGCTGAACAACAGGAGATGGATCTGTTCGAGGAAAGACAACCAAGGAAGCAACAGCAGTTAGTCTTCTACACTCAAAGAAGAAATGACAACAACTACAACCGACGCAGCAAGCAAGATCAACGTGACAACCGAGGACTCACCATCGTGCCGCCGTTCTGCCACAACTGTCAGACTTCCGGGCACTCCAAGGTCAACTGCAACCGCCCTCGCGTTTACCGTGCAGCAGACCCACAAGTCGCTTCCACTCAAGCAAGTCCTCCAAGGCGCTCTTCAACATCTGCACAACAAACACCCAACATCATCAACTGCATGGTACACATCGACAACTGCGCACCCGCTTCACCACCCACTTACGCACCAGACGAAGAGGAATTCCCGCCGCCGCGCTCGCAAGGACTTCAGGTCAACCCGACATACGCTGCAGTCGCTAACGCCGAACCCACCGGGCGGAACACCTGGTTCTTGGACAGTTGCTGCGGTCAGCACATGTGCTCCTCCGGACGCTTCGTACAACACGAGCGACGCCTCAACCGTGACGTCGTCATCACCGTCGCCAACAACGAAAACCTGAAAACAAATAGACAAGGCGTGGTTCAGTTACAATCAATGGAGACAAACGTTATTCTTCAGCTCAACAAGGTCCTCATCGTCGACAATCTGGGATACAACCTATTAAGCGTAAGCCAACTAATGGCTAAGGGGATTCACCTGGAGTGCGACTCCTTCTCCAACGAGTTCCGACTTTACCACGGGAAGGGCGGTCTCTTCATCGGTCGTGCCCTCCTGAAGTCCGGTGTCTTCGTGTTGGACTTCGTCCCCGACCGCGGAACTGCCGACAGCGACGGTATCGTATCCTTCGCCGCCTGGACTCATCCGCCAGATCTTGATCCCGACTTCGACAGCGACGGCTTCTGGCACTCCAACACCATACCTGCAGCAGAAAGAACACGAGCATTAGCAGTTATCAGACAAGAAAGACAAGTACCCGCATGTGTCCCAACAAAACCATCACCTGCAGTATCGGCAGCAGGACCCAGCCGAGTACCACCACCAGCGACACGAGGACAGCCAACCGAAGCAGACCAACTTATGCCCGCCACACGAGAAGCTTGTCGAAGTCCCGCCTCGGTCGTCGCGTTCTTCTCCAACGCCGACATCTACCACCGCTCGCCCGGTCACCGCGCTCCCGACGACATCTGGCACCAACGTCTCGGACATCCTGCAAACAGCACGATACTTCAAACAATCCAAGCAGAAGTGTTAGAACGCAACGCCCTTCTGACGACGAGCGGCCAGGAACTCCGACGACCACGCGCACGGTGTTTCACATGCCCCGAAGCAGATCTTCCTCATCAACCTTTCCCAGCCCATCACAATCCAAGCGCACCCACTTACGCTCCGATGGAAAAGGTCTACAGCGATATTCTAAACATGCCTCGAGACGACACCGAAGCCGACTTCAACTACGTCATCACGTTCATCGACGCCGCAACCAGATACGTCTGGCACTTCAATCTCAAAACGCGCGATCAAGCCTTCGAGGCATTCACCACATGGCTTCCAATCGCCGAACGAGAGTCAGGAACCAAACTCAAGAGTTTCCAGTCAGACGGTGCACTGGAATACCAGTCACAACGCTTCAGGACCTATCTCGCGGAAAGGGGAATCCGACGCCTGGTGTCTCTGCCCTATGCTCACCAGCAGCAGGGGGTAGCAGAACGCATGAACCGGACCTTGCAGACGACGATGCGAAAACTGCTTCTGGGGATGAGGCTGCCCAACGCACTGTGGCCAGACGCGATGACACATGCAGTCCACCTGCACAACCTGTTGTCCTCGTCATCGCTCCCCAACAACGCATCACCACACCTGCTGTGGACGGGAAAAAGGGGCAGCACAAAATTACTTCGAGTTTTCGGCTGCATGGTACAATACAGACCCCACACAGCTCGAGCAGGACGCTTCACTCAACGAGCTCGGTGGGGACTACACCTCGGCATCGCCAAACATTTTCACGCGTGGAAGATCCTCGACATACAAGACAAAAATACGGTGGCATCACGTGATGTTATCTTCTACGAGCGACTGACGCTGCAGCATTACCTGGACAACATTGCCAACTCAGACGACCCCACCGACGGCTTCGCGGGCCTTCGCTCCTTCGCTGACCATGCTGCCGAGGCTGACGCAGCAGAAGAAGACGTACCTGGAGCCTCGGAAGCTGCCGGGCCACTCCTATTCTGTTCCATACCTGTTCCACTCGATGAAGATAATCCCCTCGATAGCAACAACCTCGACACCTTTTACCACTTCGCCGACCAAGGTTACGCTACACCGCACCCCGTCGACACGAATATTTCGGAACGCATCGGCCCCAATTTCTTACCTGACCCCGAAGACGGTGACGAAGCAGCTTATTCGGGGAATGACAATTCCCCTCGACACACACCCACGGGACTCCAGATTCTAGGCCTCTGGGTCTCCGTCCAGCATCCGCCGCCGCCTTCTACGCGTGAGCCTTCAACCTTGTCGCAGGCTCTGGGGGGGGAACATAAGGCAAAATGGAAAGAAGCGATGGAAAAGGAGTTAAAAGCTCTGCAAGACCGAGAAACATGGAAACTGGTACCTGCAACGAGCATCAACGGGAAGAACGTTCTCTCGGGGAAATGGGTGTACCGCATCAAGACCAACTCAGACGGCTCCATCGAACGATTCAAAGCTCGATGGGTCGTACGAGGCTTCGATCAACGATACGGAACCGACTACACAGAAACCTTCGCCCCAGTCTCCCGTCACACCTCATTACGCATCCTACTCGCCGTCGCGGCCACAAAAACACTACCACTACGCCAAATCGATGTCGCGAATGCGTTCCTATACGCACCTGTGGACGCTGAGATCTTCGTCGAACAACCCCACGGATTCATCGACGACCCCACGAAAATATGCCGACTGACAAAATCCCTATACGGGATCAAGCAAGCCCCGCGGCTCTGGCAGCAGCATCTTCACAGCCGTCTCGTAAAAATCGGCTTCCTACAGCTGCCGCATGACCAAGGGATGTACCGACTGCAGAAGGGAAGAGAGTATGTTCTGCTCATCGTCTACGTCGACGACCTGCTCTACATCGGCTCAACTACCGACATCGCCACCTGGTTCGAAGGGGAGCTGAAAGAAGATTTAACTCTCACGGTGTCCGACGAAGTTACGCAGTACCTAGGACTGAACGTCGTCGAAGACGACACGGCGTTCTACCTACACGCTGGAAAGTACTCAAGCACCGTCGCGAAGAAATTCGCTCTAACACCGACTGCGGTCCCAACTCCCTACCGCTACGGGAACAACGGCAGCGCCTCTACAAAACTCCCCGCGAAACAAATCCAGGAGTATCAACAGAAGCTCGGCTGCCTACTATTCGCAGCAGTAACCTGCCGACCCGACCTATCCTATAGTGCGAGTCAGCTGGCGACACATCTGAAGCAGCCGCAACAGGAAGATCTCGAAGAACTCAATCGAGCGCTACTCTACTTCGTCTCCACGCCGACGATCGGGCTCACCTACAGCAAGGCAACAACACCGTCCGTACGACTACTCGGATACGTCGACGCCGACCACGCGGGAGACAGCGAAAATCGACGGTCTAGGACGGGCTACATCTACCGACTAGAACCTATCGGAACTATCTCCTGGCAGTCGAGCAAGCAGGAGTTAATCGCACTATCCTCGGCTGAAGCAGAGTATATCGCCCTTTGTACTGCGACCAAGGAAGGACTCTACCTACGAGAGTTACTCGAAGAAGCGAAGATCGCGACCCTGCCCGCCTTCTCACTCCTCTGCGACAACCAATCTGCGATCAAAATCGCGAACAAGGACGGCTTCGCCAATCGAACCAAGCACATCGCCCTGCGGTACTTCTTCGTCAAGGATGAAATCGCGAAGGGGAGACTTCAACTCAGTTACTGCCCGACGACAGAAATGGCCGCAGATTATCTGACGAAGAAATTGGCGAAAGCAAAATTCGACTACTGCATGCTCCTAACCGGGCAAACAAACGCCACCGGATCTGAACACTCCAGCACTCCAGAAACGAAGGGGAGTGTTGGAAATATCTCAAGGACTTAAGCGTTTCTGAAGTGTAACACTGTACTCGAGGAAGATTACAGGGGAGCACGCGAGTCAACGGAGGTTACACGAGGGGGCGGACAAAGAATGCGAAAGGACTCGAAAGGTCGCAACTGGAGGTTGCGACTGACCGTTACAACATCACGGATGGTAACCGAAGCGGCAATCGAGTCGCTGTGCGACTCGATAAACCGTTCCTGTAACTGTATTCTACAACTGCTTTCTTATCTACTATATATTGCTGTATGCTTGTTTCTTTAATCAATCACTTGTTCTCACATACTAGTACAAGGGTTCAACTGCCTCAACTTCCGCTGCACTACTCCAAGTCTCAAGTCTTTACAGCTGGGACTTAGTCTCTGCAAAAGATCCTAAAGGGTTTTTCTCAGCCCAACACTTCCGCGCGGCTCCTGTTCCCGCTTTTTGAATGAGGATGAATGTGCAGTTTTCCATGGTAAATTTGGAAGATTGCCATATAACACGCCTGTACGTATAGCCAATTACGAATACTGTGAAAAGAGGTAATTTAGCGCTCTCTAGTGCATCAAGTAATAGCTTTGTAGTAGTAGTGTGCTGTACTGTATGAGTTAGACGGGACTGACTGTAGCTGTGCGCGACATCCCCCCTTCCCGCGCAAATTCAGACCCGAAATTCGCCGCCGTTCTGCTGAAATACCACCTCGAATTCTTCCACAAACCTCATTCCTCGCGTGCCTGCTCGCGATTCGCGAATAGTCGGCGTCTGTTTTGTTACTACCAGGGCTAGCTCCCAAGCACGAGCACGCGAATCCACGCTGTTAGCCTTTAGGAGCCCGGCGCCGCGTCTGACCTCTTCGTCGTTTCCCCCTCGTGTCTACCTGTGTTCATGGCGATGGATATCCGAGACCACTCGTCTCGCTTCTCGCTCTCCACGCCGTTGATTCCGTCGACACATGGCGTGACGAGATTCCCCCACGCTATCTGTCGTTTCGGATTGGCTCTCACCTCTGTGGTCCTCCTGGTCGCGGCCGTCCACGTGGCGCCTGGGTATTGGTCAAAGACATGGCTGGGAATGTGCCCGGCACCGCTGTGCGTGAACGGACGCGATTTTCCAAGCGGTTCCGGAATTTCCGGCGCGGATTCCGGTGATTCCGCTGGAGCTGGTGCAAGCGCTGCTGCTATAGCGGATTTCATGGCTCTTGTATCGAATGACAGTATAGCGGAGTTTTTGAAAGTCGTGACAAAGCGTCCCCACATCGCGGGCACACCTGAAAACTTTGAAACTGCCCGATACGTGAAGGAGAAGCTGGAGGTGAGCTGAAACCCCGTGTACGCGCTATACACTTATTGTTGACTTCGTTTGTTATTGGTGTCTCGCTTCGCGTTGGTAGCTTCAACACTAACTTGGCTTCTATGATGCTTCAAACAGCAGGGTTTCACTATCTCGGTCCACAATATGTCCCCCTTCCCCCCTCCCCTGCGCCCTTCCTGTCCCCCTCCTTCCCCCCTCCCCTGCGCCCTTCCTGTCCCCCTCCTTCCCGCCCCCCTGGGCCCTTACTTTCCCCTTCCTTCCCGCCCCCCTGCGCCCTTCCTGTCCCCCTCCGTCCCGCCCCACTTCAGGAGTTCGGCATCGCAGCCCACAACGCGGACTACCCCGTGCTCCTGAGCCGGCCAATCAGGCAGCGCCTGGCAATCGTGCAGCCAATCGCACGCGAGCTGCAGCTGAGGGAGCAGCCGGTGCCTGGCGACCCTTACTCCCAAGACCCTCTTGTATCGAAACCTTTTTTGGCGTACACTCCTGGGACGAGGGGAAGAGGAGGGGGAGGAGGGAGAGGAGGAGCGGGAGGGGGAGGAGGGGGAGGAGGAGGAGGAGGGGAAGGGGGAGGAGGAGGAGAGGGAAAAGGCAGGGAGGGAGGGGATGATGAGGGAGGCAGTGTGCAAGGCCCAGTGATTTATGCCAATTATGGGAGGGAGGAGGATTTCGAGGTTCTTAATGACTTGCTGGGGGGAGCAGGACGAGGAGGGGGAGGGGGAGGATGTGGGGGAGGAGGAGGTGGGGGAGGGGGAGGAGGAGGTGGGGGTGGTGGTGGTGCTGCTGGAGTGTGTACGGGAGCTATAGTGCTGATGCGATATGGAGAGATCTATAGAGGGGACAAGGTAGGATATATAATCTATGGAGGAGAGTGGCCTGGCACAACAACACACACGTGGATGCGATATGGAGGCCTGGTCCATAGGGGTAGAGATCCCCAGGTGAGGTGGGTTTATGTTGCTCCCAAAGACCTCCCACCCCCCTTCGCCTCAATACCCCTTCTACCCCTCCCCCCCCACCCTCTCCTTCCTTCTCTCTCAGGTGCGCAATGCAGCAGCATGCGGCGCCACAGCAGCAATTATCTACTCGGACCCGGCTGACTATGCCGTCAATGCCACCTCACCTGGGGATCTCTACCCCTATGGACCCGGCCTGCCGCCCTCTGGTGCTCAGGTGAACTTCAGGTGTCTTTCTTGCATGCTGTCGGGCGTTTTCGTCCAGCTGTTTTCCCCTGCTGTGATCTTCCCCTCCCCCCTCCCTTCCCCCCACCCCACCCTCTTCCCCCCCCACACCAACCCCATCTAATCTCCCCCTACCCCCACGCTTTCTTCCCCACAGAGAGGCTCCATCTACACTTCCCTCGGTGACCCGCAGACGCCAGGCTGGCCGTCCCGCCCGGGCGGCGAGCGCTTGTCCTTATCCGAGACGACCGGCAGCCTGCCGCCCATTCCCGCCCTGCCGCTGTCGTACGGGCAGGCAAAGCTTGTCCTGGAGCTGATTGGGGGCGCTGGGGCGCCCGAGGGATGGAGGGGAGAGATTAAAGGGTTGGAGTACAACGTGGGGCCTGGTCCAGTGGTGCTGGAAATGGATATAGAGGTCAGGGGGGAGGGGTGAAGTGATGGAGTGGATAGTGGTGATAGTGGTGGTGATGAGTCTATTTTTGAGGCGCCTCAAAAATGAAGTGATGGAGTGGATAGTGGTGATTTTTTAGTCGACTCAAAAGGCACCTCGTTTCAATGTCACACGGCACTTTCGTGATGGAGTGGATAGTGGTGATAGTGGTGATAGTGGTGATAGTGGTGGTGATGAAGTGTGCGTGCGTGGCTTTTAGGCGGAGCTCGCCCCTCGTGGAGGGGGGATGGGAGGGGGATAGAGGGGTTGGTTGGAGAATCTCTACTTGGCGAAGCTTGTCCCTCGTGTTGGGGGGCTGGCCCAATGGTGATGGTGCAGAGGGAAACTGAGGCGACAGGAGAAGAGAAAGTGAGACTGGAGGGGATGGTTTGGGGGGTTACGGTACAATGTTGGACTGGGCTGCGCTGCTCCTGCCATGGATGTTTTTTTCTACTCTAACTGGCAACCCCTCTGTCGTCCTAACCCCTCCTCCTTCCCTTCCTTCCCCCTTTCCCACAATCCTCTTCCCCTCTGGGCGCCCCAACCCAGGTGAATGCAACGGTCACCGACATCCGCAACGTGATTGGAACGATTAAGGGCCAATCAGAACCCGACAGGTGGACAAACGGGGGATGGTAGTGTGGAGGGGAGAGGGAGTGCCTTGCAGTGGTTACTGGCTATTTAGGAAGACTGTGAGGCATTTTAGAAAAGAATTTAAAAGGCAATGAATGTCGCCTCACACGTGTCTGCTGTTTGCTCTCTATTTCTCCGTTCTTTTTTCTTCTTTCTTCTTTCTCAACAGATACGTGATAGTGGGCAACCACAGGGACGCGTGGGTGTTTGGTGCTGCCGATCCCAACAGTGGCACTGCATGCATGCTCGAGGTAAATAGTGGCTGTATCTATGGCTGTGTGCTAGAGGTATAAACTGGCTTTCTGCTCGAGGTGTTAATTGTTTTCGAGTCCCCATAGAACAGATATTGGGTGGATGCATGTTGAAGGCAGCACGTAACGCATGCATGCGTGGATGCATGCTTGCTGGTTGTTTGGTGCTGCAGAGGTGACTTTTGAGTCGATTCAAAGGTAGCACATAGCGCATGCGTGGATGCATGCATGTATGCGGGAAGCTCGGTGCTGCAGATGCCCAAGCAGTGGCATTCCCCCAACTCCGACCTTCGCCCTTCCCATCCCCCTCCTACCCCCTGTCAGATGGCTCGGGCATTTGGGTCAATGCTAGCTGCTGGGTGGAGACCGGAGCGCACCATCGTGTTTGCATCGTGGGATGCAGAGGAGTTTGGGCTGGTGAGGATGGGTGGAGAGAGGTGGGGCAGCGGGATGGGGCAGAAAGGCATGGGGTAGGGAGGCAAGGGATTGTGGCGCCTTTAACATGTGTTATGTTTGCCGCGAGTGATGAAGAGTGTGGGCTGGTTAGGATGGGTGGAGGGACGTGGGAGAGACATAGGGTAGAGGGGCATGGGGCATAGACATTTCTTTTGAGTTGGCTCAAATGACGTGGGGTAGAGAGAGCTCGGAATTGTGGCACCTTCTCCCTACCCCATAGGGTAGAGTTGGTTTTGATTGCGTCGCGAGATCTAGGTGTCTCTGCCGCTGTGTCTGGCGCTGGCTTCCTCGCTGCTGCCGTGTGCTGTGTGGAAACCAACGCCAGACAGCGGTGTTTATGAGAAGTCTCAAAACAGAACACATCCCATCTTGGTCTCCTTGTGGTGTTGTGGTGGTTGCTGCTTCGATCCCATGCCCGTCCCTCCAGATCGAATCAACAGAGTGGGCAGAGGACAATGCTCCCCTGCTTTCTTCCCGTGAAGTCGCTTACATAAAAGTCGACACCGCTGTGTCTGGCGCTGGCTCCCTGTCATGCTCCTTGTCATCTTGCAGTCGTCCCATCAGATGGGTTCCACTGAATGGGTAGAGGACAACGCCCCCTTGCTCTCTTCCACGTCGACACCGCTGTGTCTGGCGCTGGCTTCCACGCTGCTGCCACTCCCATCTCAGTCTCCCTGTGGTGGTTCGATCCCTGTCATGCCACTCGCTGTGTCTGGCGCTGGATTTGACAGAGCTGTCTCAATGGCTTGCTCCTCCCATCCATCCCCATCCCATCAGATTGGCTCGACCGAGTGGGTAGAGGACAACGCCCTGCTGCTCTCTTCCCGCGCCGTCGCTTACATAAACGTCGACACCGCCGTGTCTGGCGCTGGCTTCCACGCTGCTGCCACCCCACAGCTGGATGACGTCATCAGAGAGGTGGCCAAGCTGGTGAGAGCTACAGTGCCTACGTATGTGAGATCCCATGGATCTCCATGGCGCCAATGCCTGAGGGATAAAAGCCGATGCAGATCGTCGGACATTATCCCAGTGAGCGCGGTGCCAGATGACAATTTAGCTAGTAGGACACTATCCGATGCAGACCGTCTTTACTTAACTGTTTTTCGTACTTGCTAAATTGTCATCTGACACCGCGCTCACTGGGATAATGTCCGACGAAAAGCCGATGCCATGGCGCCAATGCCTGTTGTTTTTGTGAGAAGCCGATTCACAATGCGCCTCAAAAACCATTTAGTGCCATGGGGGAGAGGACGTGTTGGGTTATTCTTTTGAGTCGACTCAAAAGGGAGAGGAGATGTTTGGTTGTTTTCCTTGACGAGAGGTCTTTGAATGGACTGAAAAATCACCTAAAATATAACTCTTAGAATGCCCAACCACCTCTGTGTTTTCCCAGATCTCTCCTTCCTTGCTTCCCTCATGTCTTGTTGTGGTTTGCTCCCATAACCACTGCCGTGTTTGTCCCTATTATTTTTGTCATTTTTCTGCCTTGTGTCGTTTGTCTTTCATGGTCAGGTGGAGGATCCAGACAAGCGAGGCCGGTCGGTGTATGCCTCCTGGGCCGAGAGGACCAACCGCACGGTGCCTTATGTGAGTCGGGTGGTGATGCGTTGGGTTGGTGTGGGTTGATGTGGGTTGGTGTGGGTTGGTGTGGATTGGTGTGGGTTGGGGTGGGTTGGTGTGGGTTTGTGTGTGTGGGTTGGTGTGGGTTGGTGTGGGTTGGTGTGGGTTGGTGTGGGTTGGTGTTGGTTGGGATGGGTTGGGGTGGGTTGGGGTGCTGGTTGGTGTACTGGCTTGTGTACTGAGAAAGCTCGTTGATAAACAGTTAGCGGATCCAGACAAGCAAGGCCCATCGGTGTGTGACTCATGGGCTGAGAGGACCAATCACAGCGTGCCATATGTGAGTTTTGCGGCGCCTCAAAAATAGACTCATTGATAAAAAGTTGGCATGGTTTTTGCCTCATGTCTATTCCGTCGTACCCTTCACTCCTCCTCCGAATTCTCAGACCGTCCCTGCTGCACCATTCCTTCCTGCTGCCAGCTGGCCCTGCTGCACCATTCCTTCCTGCTGCCAGCTGGCCCTGCTGCACCATTCCTTCCTGCTGCCAGCTGACCCTGCTGCACCATTCCTTCCTACTGCCAGCTGGCCCTGCTGTTTTCCTGACTGGTTCTTCGGCTTGGGGTCAGCGGCAGCGCGTTTTTTAGAATCCTCAGGGTGTTTTTGAGAATTCTCAAGAACACCCTGCAAAATCAAGGTTTTTCGGCTTGGCGTCAGCGGCAGCGGCCTGTGCGGAGTTCTGTCCAGCTGACCCCAAGCCGGCAGAGTTCTGTCCAGCTGGCCGCTGCTGCATCATTCCTTCCTGCTGCCAGCTGGGCAGGTTAACCGGTGGGGGTGGTGACTATGCGACGTTTCTGCAGTCATTGGGATAGTCCATAATGGCGTCGCATAAAGCACTCAGCACTTCATAATGCAGTCATTGGGATAGTGGACGCCGTTCATAATGCACTAAGCAGCACTCCTTGAGATGGTGTGGCACACAATGGGATACTGAGTGTGGTGCTGGATTCGGTGTCCCAATGTCTGCCACTCCGCGTTACCCCTCCATTCTCAATGGCTCTCGTCCCATCCCCCCATCTCTCCCACCTCACTAACACATCCAGACTACCCATGTACGACAACTACCATTGGATAGCCACCATCATGGACCCTCTCTATGTGTACCATCCATCGCTTGCTCTATTCCTCTTCCTCCCCAGATTACCCCATGCACCACAGCATGTACGACAACTACCATTGGATAGCCACCATCATGGACCCTCTCTATGTGTACCATCCATCGCTTGCTCTATTCCTCTTCCTCCCCAGATTACCCCATGCACCACAGCATGTACGACAACTACCATTGGATAGCCACCATCATGGACCCTCTCTATGTGTACCATCCATCGCTTGCTCTATTCCTCTTCCTCCCCAGATTACCCCATGCACCACAGCATGTACGACAACTACCATTGGATAGCCACCATCATGGACCCTCTCTATGTGTACCATCCATCGCTTGCTCTATTCCTCTTCCTCCCCAGATTACCCCATGCACCACAGCATGTACGACAACTACCCCTGGATGGCCACCATCATGGACCCTCTCTATGTGTACCATCCATCGCTTGCTCTATTCCTCTTCCTCCCCAGATTACCCCATGCACCACAGCATGTACGACAACTACCATTGGATAGCCACCATCATGGACCCTCTCTATGTGTACCATCCATCGCTTGCTCTATTCCTCTTCCTCCCCAGATTACCCCATGCACCACAGCATGTACGACAACTACCATTGGATAGCCACCATCATGGACCCTCTCTATGTGTACCATCCATCGCTTGCTCTATTCCTCTTCCTCCCCAGATTACCCCATGCACCACAGCATGTACGACAACTACCCCTGGATGGCCACCATCATGCACCCCCTCATCTCTCGCCTTTATTCCCTTGCCCATGTGCCACTTCCGTCCCACCCATCCCCCACCCATCCTCTTCACATCCAGACTACCCCATGTACCACAGCATGTATGACAACTACCATTGGATGGCGACTATCATGGACCCTCTCTTCTCCCGCCATCAAGCCACGGCTCAGCTCTGGGGCTCGCTTGCTCTCCGCCTGTCAGGGGATGCTATACTCCCCTTTAACTATTCGAAATATGCTCTCCGGCTCAAGGTACTCTCTTCTCAGGGGGTCCTCTCTTCTCGCGCCATTGCGCCACGGCTCAGCTCTGGGGCTCGCTTGCCCTCCGGCTTTCCAGCGACTCCGTTCTCCCTCTCAACTACTCCAAATACGTGCTGAGGCTCAAGGTAATGGGCTCTGGTGCTGGCTGCAAGCTGTGGCCGTACGCTCAATGGTGGCGCAATGGTGGCTCAATGGTGGCGCAATGGTGGCTCAATGGTGGCGCAATGGTGGCTCAATGGTGGCGCAATGGTGGCTCAATGGTGGCGCAATGGTGGCGCAATGGTGGCGCAATGGTGGCGCAATGGTGGCGCAATGGTGGCGCAATGGTGGCGACCATCAGCGACCCCCTCTCATCCCTCCATGAACGCCTCGTCGCAGCGCAGCACTGGGGCTTCCTTGCACTCCGGCTATCAGGGGTCGCTATACTCCCCTTCCAATACCCCAAATACGCGCTCAGGCTCAAGGTAATAGGCTCTGGTGCTGTTTGCAACCTGCACCACTACAGTTGTAGGTAGGCTCAATTCTCCCACCATCGGTGCCACCACGCAGCACTGGGGCTCCCTTGCACTCCGCTTATCAGAGGACGCTACACTCCCCTTCAATTACTCCAAATATGTGTCAAGGCTCAAGGTAACAAGAAAGATTGTATGCTAAGGCTAAAGGTGAGAGAGCCCATGTGATGTGAACCCTCCCTTCTCCCGCCGATAATAAGCTAGTGAAAACGAAAACCCTCAAGTCCAGATTATTAGCCCATGTAAAGTGAATGTGAAAAGTGGATGTGAAACCCTCTCTTTTCCCGCCGTAACGAGATGCCACCGGCATTTGAGCAGTCTAGTTTTGAGGCGCCTCAAAACTAGATGCCGTAACGTGATGCCACAGGAATTTGAGCAGCAAGACAGCTCAAGCTGCAACTCCACGCACCATCTTTCGGCATTCAACCCTCGCGATCCTCCTCCACTCCCTTCTCTCCTCCACCCGCTTCTCTCCTCCTCTCCACCTTCGGGAACGAGTGCCGTTGAATCTCACTGACGAGCTCCACGCTTTCATGAATGTCACATGCAGCCAGCAGGAACACATGTGCCTTTGAATCCCATCCGATCTTGCTTGCCGGCCATTCCTGAGAATGCACAAAACACCAACGAGCTCCAGTCACAAAAACACCCGACCTTCATTTCATCCCTTCCTTGTTTTTGAGGCGCCTCAAAAACACCCTACCGTCACCCCTTCCTTGTTTCCCAGGATTACACCAACGAGCTCCAGGCTTCTCTACAGTCACATGCAGCACAGGAACACGTGCCCTTGAATCCCATCTCACCCTGCGTTCAACTGTTTCGTCCCCCTCCCCCCAGGACTACACCAGCGAGCTCCAGGCTTCGTTACAGTCACACGCAGCCCAGGAACACGTCTCATTGGGTCCCATCTGGGACGCCATTGGCCAGATGGAGATTGCAGTGGGGGCGATCACCAATCAGAGCGCAGAGGCCAGTGCAGAAAGAGCGAGTGAAATAGCAAGATTAGCAGGCGAAACAGCAAGAGGAGAGGGAGCAGCAGCAGCAGGAGGAGGAGGAGGAGGAGGAGGAGGAGGAGGAGGAGGAGGAGGAGGAGGGGGCATTCCTCCTCTGAGGGACGTCAATGACCGCCTCATGCTCGCTGAACATGGCTTCCTGGAAGCTGCTGGTCTCGGGCCCGGCTACACGTGGTACCGGCACATGGTATGCATGCATGGGCGCATGGACCTCCCCACAACACCGACTATGTTTGCTCAGCAAAGCAGATGCATGTGCGAATCTGGATCTCTGGACAATCTGACTGCATGTTTTCACCATAAGAACGGGTTTCCCAACATCTGATATTAGTTTCTCTTCTGCCCATTCCTTACACGCCTGGACCCCTCGCTCACCCCCTACTCCTCTGGCGTTTTCCGAACCCCAGTGCCCCAGGTGTATGGCCTCAGCCGTGCCGGCGACTCTGAATCAGCGGCTCGCGGTCTCTTCTGCCCTCTCCCCGTGCCCACGAACCCTCCCCAAATCGCCACACCCCCATAACCCCCCGTTCCCTCAGGTGTGTGGCCCCAGTGGTGCCAACGACTCTGAATCAGCGGCTCTCCCCTCCATCCCACATGCATTGCAAGCTGTGCTCGCACGCACCACCATCCATCCCCCAACCTTCTGTCTCTCCCCCCTTCTCCCCATGGCCCAGGTGTATGGTCCCAGCCGTGCCAACGACTATGGGTCGGTGGCGTTCCCCTCTGTCTCAGATGCGCTACAGGATGCCCTGGGGGGAACGGACAGTGCACTGAATACTGTGGAAAGGACAGATGGTACGAATGCCGTACATGCCATACATGCAATGCATGCCATGCATGCCCTGCATGCCCTGCATGCCCTGCATGCTCTACATGCCCTGCATGCTCTACATACCCCACATGCCCTAGATACCCCACATGCCCTACATGCCCCACATGCCCTACATGCCTTACGTGACATAGATGCCCTATATGCCCTGCATGCTCTTCCGCCCCTGCTTCTGCCAGTCCTCATGCTGCCATTCCTGGGTGTGCCCTATCAACATATGCATGCACCACATCGCAGCACCAGAGTGGCGTTCTGTGCAGCGTGAGGTGTTTCGTGTGGCGAGAGCGATTCAAAGGGTGGCCCGACAGCTTGCAGGAGACCTGATCTGATCTGATCTAGTCTGATCTGATCTGATGTGATCTGATCTGGTCTGATATGATCTGGTTTGGTTTGGTTGATCTCGAGTGGGATATCGGAATGTAATCTATCTCAATCTTTGTAGTCTGATTTGCCACTGGCTGCTTTACTTACTGGTACCACACCCTTTGTATAGTGTTACCCGTTCTCTTGCTGAATACAAGATGGTGGGTTGTAAGGGCGAGTTGAGGGAGGGGAAGCAAGCTGTTGTGAGAATATGCACCTAAGAGCGCTGTCATGTGGCTTGCTCATTGTTGGAAATATCTCAAAGGACTTAAGCGTTTCTGAAGTGTAACACTACACTCGAGGAAGATCGTAACGGGTACGCGAGTCAACGGAGGTTACACGAGGGGACGGACAAAGAACGCGAAGGGACTCGAAGGCTCGCAACTGGAGGTTGCGACTGACCGTTACAACTGCGCGGATGGTAACCGAAGCGACAATCGAGTCGCTGTGCGACTCGATAACCGCTCCTGCAACTGTATTCTACAACTGCTTTACTTTCCTATTTCTATATATTGCTGTATGCTTGTTTCCTTTAGTCAATCACTTGTTCTCATATACTAGTACAAGGCAGGGCCCAAAATTGGTTTTAGGCCACTCTTTGAGATCAGAGTAGGAAAAAAAAAATGCCCTGACGGTCAGAGCTAAAAAAATTCTAAGTCTGATTTGGCAGGGTAAAAAAATTCGAAGTCTTTGCTTCAAGTGTAGAACTCTTTGCACCCTTTCTAGCCTTGGCCATTTAAGGAACATTTTACATGAATGAAGTGGGCTGCACTGAGGTGTGGAAAGAAGGGTGTAGCGGATTTGCGCGTGCTGGGGGAGATTGGGGGATGGGATGGGACGGAAAACGATTCTGGGGCGCGAGAGGGGAATCAGATTTACATGGGCGGCAGAGGGGCGGGAAAAAAACCATCTGCTCGTGATTGGTTGGGTGTCAGAACAGAAGGGCGTATACGACGTGACGTGTCTTGCTGTGGTGTGGAGGACTTAGCGAAAAAAAAAATAAAAATTTAGCGGGGGTGTGGTTGGGAGGCATGTCTCTTGTGGGGGACTTAGCCATTTCTGGGTTGCGAGGGGGTGAGGGAGCTATGACTCTGGCTATGACTTAGCCGAAATTGCTGGCTTGCATGGTGCGTGGGGTGGGAGGAATGACTCTGGCTGCCAGGGACTTCGTCGAAATTTTTGGTTGCAGGGTGTTTTGGGGGAAATGTTTCTGGCCGCCAAGGACTTAGTCGGAATCTCGGAGTTTCGATACCAGGGTAGTTTTCAGGACGCCCTGAAGGGTCAGGGTTCGGGGCCCCGCAACCCTAGTTTCGGCAGGGTAATATTTTCGTAACACTTTTTGGATCAGGGTAATAAATTTCGTAAGTCTGATTTTTAAGACCAAATGAAAAAATGCCCTGAAAAATCAGGGCAATCAGGGCATTTTACCCGGCTAATTTGAGCCCTGGTACAAGGGTTCAACTACTCAACTTCCGCTGCACTACTCAAGTCTCATTCCTCAACTGGGACTTAGTCTCTGGAAAGATCCTAAGGGCTTTTTCTCAGCCCAACATGGTATGAGAGCTGGTCAGAGACCAAACTCCCAGCAACTACGTTCCATCTACAATCTGGAAATTCAACGGCTTCATTGATTACAAGTCATGGACAGCAAGGGCAAGAAAATCTCTACGGGCTCACCCAGCGCCCAAGACACTCAACCCGGCAACTCTGGATTGCACACTTCAGGACTGCAAACCGAGACCGGCGCTGCTCAAGAAACAACAGGAAGAGCACCGGAAATGGTGACCCCATCACCCTCTTCAAGCGTGGATCCGAACCTTATGGAAAGGTTCTTCAGCTTCATGTCGCACTTCGACCAGCAGCAGCAGACAAGGACACCTGCGCATTCAACACATAGCAACGGAGGAAACATGGGATTAGCACCGATGAGCCTTGACAATTCATCATTCGGGCGACACAACCAAGCGCCTACCTTTGCACCTTATCACTCTTCACCGGGGACATTCGAGTTCATGCCGCCCCGTGCCCAACCAACAACAGCTGCATCACAACTGACACCAAACGAGATTTTGAGTCTCCAGGCGCTGTTTTCACACGTAATCAAGTTACAGACATCCTCACCGTTCAACGGACACGACTTCTTTACCTGGAGCTTTGAGTTCGAGCTGCTGATGGAGGCTGCGCATCTCTTGGGATACTTCAACGGGTCCCTGCCATTTCCAAGCAACGGCACTGCAAAGGAGCAAGAAATATTTACTTATCAGTCGCTGCTGGCGTACACAGTTCTCTTGCGAAACCTGTCACCACAAGAACAGCAGAGCATCAGAACGTATCGGAGCTATGGAAACTCCGCGGAACTCGCATGGCATCATCTCAAGTGTCTCTATCAAGCAAACGACAGCGTGACACAAAGCCGACTCATGCAACAGCTGACAACAATACAGATGAAGACCGGGGAAAAAGCGATGCAGTATATGAGTCGATGCCAGACCCTCCGCGACCGCCTGCTTCGGTGCGGAGGAACAATCACTGAAGAAAGCTTCGTGACGCTTGTCCTTGCCGGGCTCGGGCCAGAATGGAGAACCACACGTTCACTTCTTCGCGCCCACGGAAGGATCTCGGAGATGCACCTCTGCGCCGAACTTCATGCTGAACAACAGGAGATGGACCTGTTCGAAGAAAGACAACCAAGGAAGCAGCAGCAGTTAGTTTTCTACACTCAACGAAGGAACGACAACAACTACAATCGACGCGGCAAGCAAGATCAACGCGACAACAGAGGACTCACCATCGTGCCGCCGTTCTGCCACAACTGTCAAACATCCGGACATTCCAAAGTCAACTGCACACGTGTTCGTGTCTATCGTCCACTAGACCCACAAGTCGCTTCCACTCAAGAAAGCCCTCCAAGGCGTTCTTCCACATCTGCACAAGGGACACCGAACATCATCAACTGCATGGTACACATCGATAACTGCGCACCCGGATCACCACCCACTTACGCGCCAGACGAAGAAGAATTTCCGCCGCCGCGCTCACAAGGACTTCAGGTCAACCCGACATATGCTGCGGTCGCCAACGCCGAACCCACCGGGCGAAACACCTGGTTCTTGGACAGCTGCTGCGGTCAACACATGTGTTCTTCCGGACGCTTCGTGCAACAAGAGCGACGCCTCAACCGCGACGTCATCATCACCGTCGCCAACAACGAGAACCTGAAAACAAACAGACAAGGAGTGGTTCAGTTACAATCCATGGAGACAAACGTTATACTTCAACTCAACAAGGTCCTCATCGTCGACAACTTGGGATACAACTTACTAAGCGTCAGCCAGCTAATGGCAAAAGGGATTCACCTGGAATGCGACTCGGACTCCAACGAGTTTCGCTTTTACCACGGGAAGGGCGGCCTCTTCATCGGTCGTGCTCTCCTGAAGTCCGGCGTCTTCGTGTTGGACTTCGTCCCCGACCGCGGTACTGCCGACAGCGATGGGATCGTGTCGTTCGCCGCCTGGACACACCCGCCGGATCTTGACCCCGACTTCAACCCTGATGGATTCTGGTACTCCAACACCATACCTGCAGCAGAGAGAACAAGAGCGTTAGCAGTCATCAGACAAGAAAGACAAGTACCAGCAAGTGTCCCTTCCCAACCATCACCTGCAGTAGCAGCAGCAGGACCCAGCAGAGTACCACCACCAGCGATCCGAGGACCGCCAACCGAAGCAGATCAACTTATGCCCATCACACGAGAAGTCTGTCGCAGTCCCGCCACAGTCGTCGCGCTCTTCTCCAACACCGACATATACCACCGCTCGCCCGGCCATCGCGCTCCCGACGACATCTGGCACGAACGCCTCGGACATCCTGCAAACAGTACAATACTGCAAACCATCCAAGCCGAAGTGTTAGAACGAAACGCCCTCCTTATAACGAGCGGCCAAGAACTTCGACGACCACGTGCACGGTGCTTTACGTGCCCCGAAGCCGATCTTCCCCACCAGCCTTTTCCATCCCATCACAACCCAAGCGCACCTGCATACGCACCGATGGAAAAAGTCTACAGCGACGTTTTAAACATGCCTCGAGAAGATACTGAAGCCGACTTCAACTATGTAATCACGTTTATCGACGCAGCAACAAGATACGTCTGGCACTACAACCTCAAGACGCGCGATCAAGCCTTCGACGCCTTCACGACATGGCTCCCCATCGCCGAACGAGAATCAGGAACCAAGCTCAAGAGCTTCCAGTCAGACGGTGCACTGGAATACCAGTCACAACGCTTCAGGACCTATCTGGCGGAAAGAGGAATCAGACGCCTGGTGTCTCTGCCCTACGCTCACCAGCAGCAGGGGGTCGCAGAACGCAAGAACCGGACCTTGCAGACGACGATGCGAAAGCTGCTCCAGGGGATGAGACTGCCCACCACACTGTGGCCAGACGCGATGACACATGCAGTCCACCCGCACAATCTGTTGTCCTCGTCATCACTTCCCAACAACGCATCACCGCACCTGCTGTGGACATGAAAAAGGGGCAGCACAAAATTACTCCGGGTTTTCGGCTGCATGGTACAGTACAGACCCCACACAGCCCGAGCAGGACGATTCACTCAACGAGCACGGTGGGGATTACACCTCGGCATCGCAAAACATTTTCAAGCATGGAAAATTCTCGACATACAAGACAAAAATACCGTGGCATCACGTGATGTGATCTTCTACGAAAGACTGACGCTGCAGCATTACCTGGGCAACGTCGCCAACACGGACGAGCCCACCGACGGTGTCGCAGGCCTTCGCTCCTTCGCCGACCGTGCTGCCGAGGCTGACGCAGCAGAAGAAGACGTACCTGGAGCCTCGGAAGCTGCCGGACCACTCCCTTTCTGTTCCGTACCTGTTCCACTCGACGAAGACAATCCTCTCGATAGCAACAACCTCGACACCTTTTACCACTTCGCTGACCAAGGTTACGTTACACCCCACCCGGTCGACACTAATGTTTCAGAACGCATCGGCCCAAACTTCTTACCTGATCCAGAAGATGGTGACGAAGCAGCCTATTCCGGGAATGAAAATTCCCCTCGACACACACCCACGGGACTGCAGATCCTCGGCCTATGGCTCTCCGTCCAGCATCCGCCGCCGCCATCTCCGCGCGAGCCCTCGACTCTGTCGCAGGCTCTGGGGGGGGGAACACAAGGCGAAATGGA